TATAAACCTGAACTATTTGCATATTATACAGTTTTGAAAGATATTAAGTTTAAGTTTGGTAAAACAGTTCGTGAACAGGTCACAACTTTTCTGTTGTAAGCTGTCAAGTTGAGTTTTGAATATGTTTTGGTGTTTTAACTTGTATTCCCCCCCCTGAAAACTGAAGAAAACTAGAAAATGTAGGGGTATGAACTCACCTTGAGTGATTTCTTGAAGAGTGGAAGGTTGAAGATGATGAGTTTCAAGTATAAATCACTTGATGAACACACGAAGTTTTGGATGATCCTAAGAACGATTTTTGGTGTGAAGATATGAGTCGTTAATCTAAGAGTGTTATGAAAACATGTAATAACACTTGAGTTAGAAGGAAATACTTACCAATAAGTGAACAAATGACTCAAGAATACATCAAAAGTGTGGCTGAAAGTTGAGAGAAAAGAGGCCCTCTTGATGGTTTAAGAAGTGTATAATTTTGATGGTGAAGTAAAAGATCAAGGGAATCCCAGACATTTCCTTATATGGAGGGTTGCTGGAGCAAGTGGCTAGGGTGAAGGGATGTTTGCCTTGGTTTGTGTGATGTGGATAAGGTTGGACCAATGAGAAAGTGACACATAAGAGGCAAGTGGGCACACTTGACCCACTTGTGGTGTAAAATACTCTTCTTATTGTAAAATAATGATTTATAATTAATAAATCCTTGAAAAATAATTAAAATAATAGTTCTGGGGGTTAAAAATGATAAAAATATGAATTCGGTGAAAAAATCCCGTCAAAAACGTCAAAAACGGGCTTAGGAGGCGAAAGTAGTCGAAAACCGGACAATAGGGACCGAACCTGCGAGGTTCGGCTCTTAGGAGTGTGAGAACCGAGAGTAGGAGGGAAGACCGAAGTGGGGGGGGGGGTGCGAGGGTCTCGCATGGGAGCCGAAGTTCGGTCCTCGCTGCTGAGCTTCGGTCTGCTGAGGTTTCGGTTCGAGATGCTTCTGACACTTTCGGTTCTGACACTTTCGGCTCATAAGGGGTTTCGGTTCCTAAGAGGGGTTTCGGTTTCTAAGAGGGGTTTCGGTCCTATATAGCTGTTTTTCGAGATGACCCGGTCCGAGATGCTTCTGACACTTTTGGTTCTGACACTTTCGGCTCATAAGGGGTTTGCGTGATTTTTGACCAAGTTAAGGGTCGGGATGACCCGGATGACTATAAAAAGTTCGAGAGAGATTTTGGGAGAGATTTCACATACTTGGAGAGATTTGGGAGAGATTTCACATACTTAGAGAAATTTGGGAGAGATTTCACATGCTTGGAGAGATTTCACATACTTAGAGAGATTTGGGAGAGATTTCACATGCTTGGAGAGATTTGGGAGAGATTTCACATACTTGGAGAGATTTCACATACTTAGAGAGATTTGGGAGAGATTTCACATACTTGGAGATATTTGGGAGAGATTTCACATACTTGGAGAGATTTGGGAGAAATTTCACATACTTGGAAGGATTTGGAAGAGATTTCACATGCTTGGAGAGATTTGGGAGAGATTTCTCATACTTGGAGAGATTTGGGAGAGATTTCACATGCTTGGAGAGATTTCACATACTTAGAGATATTTGGTAGAGATTTCACATGCTTGGAGAGATTTGGGAGAGATTTAACCTTATCCATTATTATCGCATAATCTCGCAAATGCAAGGTTCGCGAACCCCTTTATGCTTCGTTAATGATCGTTTTAAGTCCCCGAAAGGGTCCTTAGTCGTGTTTTGATGCGTTTAACTCTCTTTTTAAGGTTTTTACATTGTTAACACATAGATTCTTCGAGACACTTGAATTTTTGACATAAAGATGCACATTTTTATACATAGAATAACTTTTAACATACAAGTACTAGTTAAGTTTGACCGGTTTGACTTGTTGACTTTGACTTTGACTTTGACTTGAATTTGACGGTTGTCACAAGGAGCCCCTCTGCTTGGAGGGGTTTGATGCAACATGACCCCCCCCCCCCCAGGACTGGGGAAAGATCAAAAGAAGATTGTGGAACAGGCTGGTCTGAAACAACGGACTGCTTAATCGCTCCTTGATCCCCATCAGACTATTGAACGTCGCCATCAGGGATCACAACAATAGCCTCTGGCGTGGAGGAGATTGAGTTCAACAAACGAGTAAAATTGCGCCCCGATTGAACCTGCCTCCCGATGTTAAAGACATAAGTGGAGGTCTCCCCCATGGCCAAGACGACCTTCCTCTTAGCTATGGCTCGCCGGATGTCAGAAATAATGCCACCCTTGCTATCCTCGACTATCTCCGCATGACCAGAATCGACAACAGAAGATGGAGCAACCGTCGTGATAGGTTACGCAGACAAGGGTCGTTCTTCAACAGTTGCAAAAGATCCCTTCAAAGCCAGTGTCACTGGAGGAGAAGTCGCGGCGTGTCGATCAACCCGACATGGCGGAGGAAGAGTTTCAATGAGATTAGTCTCTCGATGCTCCAGCTTCCCTCGATACCGCTTTCGCAGGACATCATCCATAGAAAGAAGGGACTCAACACCTGCAAAAGCAAAAACAAGCCAAGAACACATAAGCAAAATAATCACCATTCTCAAATGCAAAACCCCCTTTAAAAGGGGGGGGGGGGAGAAGAAGGAAGAATAACAGAAAAGAAGCAAAGGCAGAACTACCCACCATTAATAATGGCGTAAAAGATGGGCATCTTCCCCCGACGTCTCCAAGAGGGGCTCATCCCAACCTCGACAAGCAGAATCTCTGAGTACACATCAGGCACGACCTGAATGGTCTTTAGAAGATCAACGATAGCCTGATTATGAGGATACAACTTGGGAGTGACGCTAGATAAATTGTTTTCCCGATAGCGCCCACGACCGACTCGATCCTGGTTAACCCATAACCATTTGTCTTGCCATCAAGAACCAAGACATGGCCCCCACGTCGAGCAGAGAACGTGTACTTGTCACCAGTAACACTGAATCTAAAAAATAACTTGAAGACAAAGTAGTCAAGGACCACTCCGTTTGCCCGACAGATCATCTAAAATGCCACCGCCTTGTTGACGACGTTTGGAGTAAGCATCTGGACGCTACAACCGTTCTTCTGAATAAGTTCTTCCTGGAAGTCGGTGAGGGGAAGGCGCAAACCAGCATCAAAGGTTTTCAGATAAACGCCTACTTTGCCTGAAGGATAAGAAAGGATCATCGAGTCGGCCGACATAAACTCTACACCGTCAAACGGAGAGAAGCCGTAAGCATCACTGAGAAGTTTGAATTAGCCTCAGAAGGAACGATGCTAGATTGAGCAGCCATTAAACCAGAAGGGGAGCAAGGAAAACCCTAACCACAGAAGGAGGAGAAATAAAAAAGAAGAAGTGGTGTGGATAGAGAAAGCCCTTAACCTTATAAAGAATAAGGAAAGGCGGGATATTCAAAATCCCTAAAGCAATGATGTAACTGACTGTCATGATGGGCAGTCACGTGGTCGAAAAAAACCAAAGCGACGATTGAATCAGAACTTGACGCGTGTACCAAGCAGTTAAGTCCAGAACATCATAGGCAGTCTAGCAACACTATAACTACTGGAATAGGGGACTTGATGATGTGTTGTTGGCACGAACGAAGAGTCGCGCCCAGGCGCGCCAGATAATTCCCCAATGCACGTCGCGCCTAGCGAGACAAACCCGACGGGGCTTAGCGTCCGCTGGCGCCTCTAAGAGCAGGGCGGCCGTGGAGAAGGCCCGGCCCCGCCAGGGGCGCCTTCTACTTCGTGACAAAAGTATAACGGCTCCAGGCGACAAGGAAGATGCTCAGAGCATTACCACCTGAACCAATCGTTGGCTCTAACAGATTAAGGAGCGCGATTATCCAATCATCGTCCCCGATCCTGTCGGGTCTGACGTCATTTTCCTGTATGGACTAGCAAAGGGGTTCAGTATAAAAGGCCACCCCGGTGCCTTGGAAGGTAAGTCGCTCTCTCCCAATTCACCCTAGATACACCCAAGTATATCTACTGACTTGACCGTCAGATCATTTTCCCGGAAGCCTCCTCCCAGAGAACGGCTGAGGGTTTTCTCTCGTTGTGACCTCGCAGGCTCATCAAAATCATCAAAGACATAAGGCGTAAACGTCTGGTGGCCAGGTCACATCAACCATCTTTTTCTTAGGTGTGAAGTGATAGCTGGAACTTGGAACACTATTTTCTCTTGGATTAATGTTGTTCCTTCCGATTTTGATACGATTTTTGAGTTGTTTAATTTCATTGATAATGGCATCACGAATGTGAAGTAAAGAAGGGTGGTTGATGCGATAGCATGTACCACTATTTGATATATGTGGAGATTTCGAAATAATGTGGTGTTTGGAACAAGAAAGATTAGAAAAAATGAGATTGTTGATTCGATAAAAGAATTTTCTTTATTGTGGTATTCTAATAGAAATAATAGATGTCAGATGGGATGGATGAATAGGCGTCAAAATCCTATGAACTTATTGTAATTGTTTTCTAGCTCCTTGCTAGTTTTTATTTTACTTCTTGTCGGTTGTTTAAAAAAAAATTAGTGTATAATAATTGAATAAATTTTAAAAGAAGAGATTTATAAATGGTCTTTGTAGTTTGGTTGCAGAAATGATCAGTTGAAGCGTTCAACGGTTCTTCGGCCTACCACCTTTCTCAAGGTTGAGCTTGTTTAATTGAAGCTAATGCTATGCTGCCCTTTCGGGCCACCAAACCCTGCAACTGATGAAAAGGAGAAGCTTGATGCTTCAGATCCAACCCCGACAATAAGGGGCGGGAAGAAGCGAGCCTAGGATAAAATTATTATTTTAAAAAAGTTAACCAATAAACTGTTAAAAGTAATATTTTTGGAAAAAACTACTGTTCAAAATTGAAACACTTTATCATTCCACAACATTTTTGAACCAAAAACAGAATAATTTTGATAACAACCGAACCATAATTTTGTCCGGAACAAATTGGATCCTAAAAGATGAAGTGTTACCGTCTCCCTAGTCGATTTCTATGCGTTCTTGCAACAAAAACTGGAACCATCACTATGCGTCTCTATATTCGCGCCTCACATTTCCCGCCATAATACTCCAGAAAAACCCTCTGTTCTTCACAAATCCTAACCACAAAATGGCTTCCGCGAAAGCCATTACAGATTTCTTCCCACCGGCAAAACGCTCCAAAGGAGCAGCGGCAGCAGCTTCGTCCCTGGAATCTTCTTCAAAAAAAAGTATCCTTTCGGTTTCCCAAAAACCCACCACCAACGCCGTTCCATTTCCATCTACCACACCAGAATCGGTTGACGGTAGTGGAGTTCAGCTTTCACCTTCGTCGAATCTCAACGAGGAACAGAAACTTAGGGTTCAGTTCAATCAATCCCTAGCGAAAGCCAAACGCAATCTCAAAATTTGTGCTGGGAGAGTCTCGAAATCCACTTCAGGTAAGTTCCTAGACATGGATTTTCCTAATTCTGATTCGATCAATAGATTGTGTATCCTTTATATGAAATTGCGAGAGTATTTGTTACTCCCCCTTACACGAAAGCAAAAATGTAGAGTTACATCTATGGTTCAATGAATCTCTATGTCGATGATATGGTTGCCATTTGTTCTCTTAAATCCTTATGGTTTATAATGCTATTATATCTTATATGTTTAGGTGAGGGGTTAGGGTCTATGAAACTGGAAGAACTATTGGTGGAAGAAACATGGTTGGAAGCCCTTCCTGGAGAGTTTCAAAAACCCTATGCCAAGAAATTGAGTGAATTTGTAAAGGCTGAAATACAAAGCCCCATACCAATCTACCCTCCTCAACATCTGATCTTCAATGCTCTGAATTCAACCCCATTTGACAAGGTCAAAGCTGTCATCATTGGTCAGGTGTTTACCAAAATCCCCTTTGTCATTGCTTATTAAGTTGCTCGTATCTTTTACAAAACTCATATCAATCAATTGGTGAAAGATTTACACATTGAATTTGTTATGTTAGGATCCATATCATGGACCTGGTCAAGCCATGGGTCTTTCTTTCTCTGTTCCAGAAGGTATAAAAGTACCTTCAAGCTTGGTAAACATATACAAGGAACTTCAACAGGATTTGCAGTGTTCAATACCTTCTCATGGGAATTTGGAACGATGGGCTGTACAGGTCAAAATTACTTCTAATTTTTATATTCTTGTTGAATCTTAAAAAATCTTTAGTAGTGTTTAATCTGTTTAAGTGTCTATATTTTGTTAAAACACATATGATCTGACATCAACACTGTTATGTGCAGGGTGTTCTGTTGCTCAATGCTGTTCTCACTGGTAAGACTAAGACACTTGAGTTATCTGAATGGATTAAGTCAAAAGAAACACCCATATATATATATATATATATATATATATATATATATATATATATATATATATATATATATATATATATCATATTGTTTTTTCAGTTAGGCAGCATCAAGCAAATTCTCATGCAAAGAAAGGGTGGGAACAGTTTACTGATTCTGTAATTGAGACAATTTCTAGAAAGAAAAAAGGAATTGTTTTTCTTCTTTGGGGAAACTATGCTCAAGCAAAATCCAGGTACTTATGGGAACAATTTTTTTATTTAAAGAATGAATATCAATTTCACATTGAAAATTTGTTCTCTACATGATTTGGAGACATTGTGCAGGTTGATTGATGAAAGCAAGCACCATATTCTGAAATCAGCACATCCTTCTGGTTTATCTGCTCATAGGGGATTCTTTGGATGCAGGTTTGTATTTTTAAATATGAGAAAAGTAAAAAGTTAACAAGTTTTATAAAATAATGTTATTGCTGATAATTATTGGGGCAATGTGCAGACATTTTTCTCGTACCAATAGAATCTTGGAGGAAGCAGCTACTTCTCCCATTGATTGGCAACTTTAAATTACTGGATTTGGCTCTATTTTTGGAAACATTTATACAATTTGAATGTTGTTATTAATCAAAATGTTTCATTTTGTGTGGTTAAGTTATCTACCACATATCCATCTAGAACTTGTATCTGAAACATATGACACAACAAAAAAGTGTCTGTGTTAAAGATTAATCCATACATTAGAGTTGATTGAAACATTCTGGCATAACAAACTATATTAAGTAAAATACCTAAATTACCCCCCTCCACTAATAAGATGCTCTTTATTTGCTAATTTTTCTATGTTATCCTGATCTAAAATACGATATTGAAGTGGATGCTGTTTAGAGATCATTTTGTGATATCTAATTGATTTTAAAAGTGAATATTTTAACCATAAACTAAAGACTTTCAATTGCATTGATATCTATCTAAAACATTTTATTGAATTGCTTTAATTGAATTAATTGATATGTTTTTGATGCAAAGTCATTTACACGCCAATAAAATATGCATGTAATTGATTCGTGGGGGGTGATATTGTTGTTTGACCGAAATCAATCCCAAAGTCAAAAAGAACAACTGAAACAAACAAATTAAGAGGACGTACATCACATGGCATGGGTTTTGATGTCAAACATTGAGTCTGAGTAATTAAGAAAGAAACAAATGAAAAGCAAAGGACAAGAAAGTCTTTCTTTGGGTGCCATTTCGTACAAGCTCTAATACCCCACCACCACAATCTCTCATTTTTGGTGGAAAGCTGCAAACGAATTGAAAGCAAGAAAAGCAAAGGACGAGATAAGAAGATAAAGAAGAGAAGAGAGGGCTAGCTGTTTTACATAATGGCTCTCGAAGAAGACAAATCTGAACATCATGATGATAGCTAGGCTAGGCTAGAAAGAAAAAAGATCGATTAAGGTGGCTGGAGCTAGGTAGCTAGATCATAACGATCCAGGAAGAAGAAGTCAAAAAGAAACAACAGCAATGATCGATCTTCAACAAGTGGAAGAAAGGAGGAATATATTCTTCTGATTATGTACTTCTAAAAGATCACATCTGTAACTGTTTTGGTCCTCTATATATAAAAGGGCTGGAGACTAGGGATGAGCATATGGACGGGGGAACCGGTCGGAACCGGTACCGGAACCCGATGGAACCAGTCCAGTCGGACCGGGACCGGGACGATATTCTTGTGGATTTTAAAAACTGGAACCGAATGTTGTTATTTCTCGAAGATCGGTTCCAACATTGAAGACACGACAAGAACCGCGGTTCGGTTCGGTTTTTATTTTCCATCAAGTTCGGTTCCCGGGCCGGTTCCAGCCGGGTCGGTTCCTTTGCTCATCCCTAGGCTGGACTCAACAAGAAAGACAAGACTCCACATTTTTTTTTCTTTGTGTGTGTGTATGTGTGTTAAATCCAAGAGTTTGTTTTTTTTAGTGTGTGTTCTTGGGGTGGGTAGAACTAGAAAATCACAAAAAACATGTAAGGTTTTTGTTTTATTTGTGGACTAGTTGTGATGCCAATGTGATACATGAGTTTATTAAAAAATATAAACAATTATGAAAATTTGAAAGTTTGGAAATTTTGAATTTATAAAAAAAATTATTTAATTATTAAAATTGAAGTATTTATTTATCTTTTAAATTTATATAACTAATTTAAATAAATAAACAATTTAAATTAATTGGATTCAATTTAAAAGTATAGAAATTATAAGGAAAGTTGCATTAATGAATTGGATATCCATTTATTAAATTTAAATATTATATAAAATTTTATAAAATGAAAAAATCACAAAAAGAGACATGTGGATATAATTTAATCTAAAATTACCACTAAATGACATGTGACATAATCCATTAGAAGATGACATGTGACAAAATCATTCTTATTTATTAAGGTAAATCTTGAGTGCTACTCGAAGAAAACAGAAACAAGAAAAGTGAAGCGAGTATACACATTCCATAATATCATCTATTGCATTTGTAAAGTTTGATTTTTAAATGATGAAACTTGTTATGTCTTTCAGTTCAATGAATACGTTTTTCTATTTTAAATATGAATGAAAATACAAACTTTTTGTTTGTGAATGGTTGAATGAAATCAAGTTTGTGATTATTTTGTTGCTAAAATGATTTTATTTTATGTGAGTTAATAATTATCTCAATATGAATATTAGTATATAGGAACTGATCCGTATACAATAATTTTTTTCCATACACAACGATTGATGCTTTAAAATGTTGTATTGTATAACTATATAATGCATAAATTGAAATTTGGCTAACGGCAAATTTTGGATACCTTAATATGTTAATTTGGTAAAATATATTTGCATATGGTAAGAATGTTTAGTGAGATTTTATAATGTCGACATGTCGTATTAATATTTGCCGTAATAATATTTACATATACCTTAAAATTGACAACATGAGGATTAAAATACTATTATATTTAAACGTTGGTGTGGAAATTAGTTTACTTTTACCAAGTTTATAAATATTAAAAAGAAAATGCATAGCAATATCTAGCCCTCGAATAATCACTTTGTCATAAGGGTGGATAGAAATTATGTATAACATCTAAATTCTCATATGTGGCCTATTTATCACGTCCTTAATTAGACTCACCATGATACACACTTACCAAAAATATTCTACCCACTTACTCCACAAAATCCGATCTCAGAAGATGGAATAAATAATAGACAAAATTGTACAAATGGTCCCGTGCTATATCGAAAATTCCCACTTTGGTCCAAAAAGGTTTGGACTAGCACCAGAGGTCCAAAGTTTTCATTTTGTCCAATCTGTTTTGATATTTTTCAAAATGATTGATTTGCCCCTGTTAATATGATTTTTTTTTCTTATTTGTTTTTCTGATTTAAAAAATAAAAAATAAAAATAAAAATTAAATAAAAATAAAATAAAAATAAATCTCTCTCTCTCTCTCTCTCTCTCTCTCTCTCTCTCTCTACCATCCAACATCCTTCCCCTTTAATCTGCCATCATTCCCCTTTAATCTGCAGTCCAACATCACCACTCTTGAAACAAACTCCGACCGCCGACCAACAACATCGCCAATAATCACCGATACCAATCTAATGACACTAAATCAAAAGGAAACCTTAAACTTGGAATTAAAAGCAAACCAAAATCAAACTTGAATCAAACCTAGAAAATAAAAATAGATTGAATGAAATTCAGATTCCAACCATCACTTAACACCACGAAATAACGATTCAAACCGGAAAAAGAAACCTAAACCATTTTTCTAAGAAATTGCATCAATTCCCAAATAGAAGACTTGATTTCAGTCCTCGATTTCAACCTGTATCAAACCATGAAAAGAAATCAATACCTTGTATATAAAAAACCTTCATAAAACCCAAAAGTCCTGATTTCAAATGAAAAAAAAACGTGAAAAGCCCTACATCAAATCCAAAAAAATCACATTACCGATTGGAGATTACGGTGATGGCAGTGTATCACAGAGATGATGTTGGAATCGTTTTTTACAAGAGAGAAATACATGGGTTGTGCAGTCATGAACAAAGGTTGGATTGTCGGTGGGTTTGCACATGGTGGGAAACATATACGAACAACCACCACCACTCGAAAAAGATGGTGGTTGAGGGAGAAGGAGACATGACAAACAGATCCGCTCCAAATCGACCCCGTACCCCGTCGATCTTGTACATGGCAAACTCCAAATGTTGCCTGAAACCGGAATCTACCACCGCCATCGTCTTCTTCGCCACTGGAAACCGGAATCCACCACCGCCACTGGCGATGCTAAATGATCTGCTGAAAATCTAGATCATTGGTGGCTCTCTGGATAAGGAGAAAGACGAAGGTAATGGAGAGAAGGCGGCGATTTGAAAGAGATGAGAGAAGGGTAGCGGTTCGAGATGGTGAAGTTGGGTAGGCTGGGTTGTTGGTGCACTGAAGTCGTAGTCATCGGTTTGTGGGGGAAGGAAGGTGAAGTTGGGTGAGCAAACATTTTTAGCGCTCGATTTCATTTGATATCCAATTTTTTTTTATTTTATTTTTTTTTTTTTTTTTTTTTTACAATTTTAGCTCCCCCCACAGTCCATTATTGTCATGAGCATCTTTAATGACATCAATCCACTCGTGCACCTGATATTGTTATGCAAGATCGAAGACCAATAACAAAATGGTGAATCGTGTAGTTCTTAATAATGACATGTTAATGTATATATGACGTATTGTCTTGGCCCAAGGCCCTTTCCTCTAGTATATATTGAACTCTTGTACCCTTTGTATAATTGACATAAATATTGCTCTTCATGAATAACCATTCACTAATAACAATATCAGTGACATCATCATCAAACATCTTGGAAGGCGGAATGTTGTGACAACCGAAAGCTTTCCGTCACTGATCACCATTAGGAAATAGTTGGAAAATAAATATAATAGTTTAGTATTGTAATATTTGATTTTTGAGGAAATACGAAACAAATGAATCATTACATTTATTTGTTAATAAACTAGGTGTGAGACTCATTTATTACATGTGCTTATTTAAAAGAAAAACTAAATACAAAATTCTAAACGTTTGAGAAGTTTGAATTTATAAGAAAAGTAGGAAAATATTGAATTATAAAAATTAAAGTGTTTTTTTTAAATTTAAACAAATAAATTAGATAAATAAATAAAGAAAATTAATGAATCTTTAATTTAATAATTTTAAAATTAGAAGGAAAGTTCATTAATGAAATTGATATGCATTTATTATTGCATTTAAATACTATCTAGAATTTAATAAAATGAAAACAAATCATAAAATGACATGTGGAATAAAAATTAATTTAAAATAACCACAAAATTACATATGACAAAATAAATGAGAATGTGACATGTGACAAAAAGATCTTTATTTATTAGGGAAGATAATTTCGTTTATTATCTCTAATTTTTAATCTATATTTAGTTGTTATCCTTTCCATATTAGTTGTTATCTTTTCCATATCTTTTATTTAGCTTTGTATTTAAGCACCACAATTGATTGAATGAACTCAAGTTTTGGAGTAATCAATTTCTTTATGGTATCAAAACGGGTCATATTGATCCCGCAAATACCCCATGTTGCCGCCAGAACCATGGTAGGCAAAGCTAGAAAGAACGACAAGGATGATGATCCTTGTGCAGACACCAACTCTCCATACTATTTACATGCATCTGAATACCCGAGATAGATGCATGTAAACGACGTCCTCACTGATGGAAACTATGG